GGTTTAGGGTTTAGGGTGGGTAGGGCACTTCTGGTTTTCTGCAGGGAGTCTTCGAACACTGCGGCTTCAGGCCATACGCTGCAATTCCATACACCCCGACACACGCCCTAAGCCCTAAAACCCTAAACCCCAAGCATTGAAGCAAAATAGCACAGGCACAGAATGAACGCCAGCGCCCAAAACCCCCACGATCTGACCCACGAAGCCCTCGATCGGGATTGAAGCCCGAAACCCCACAACACCCACAGCCAAGCCCTAAAGCTTACGGTGTAGAGTTTAGGATTTAGGGTTTAGGATTTAGGGATTAGGGTTTCGGATGTAGGGCTTGGGGTTTTAGGGTTTGGGATTTTGGGTTTAGGATTTTATGTTTTTGGCTTAGGGTTAAGAACCCGATAAGCTCTGAACCCAAATGCCCGAGGAGACGATTCAGCCAGCGGTCTTGAAACATCGGCTCGTCTTGGCACCTCGGCTGGGACTAAGAGTAGGGTTGTTTCTTTCGGTTTGTCGATGCTCAGAGTTTCTTAGGGGTAGTTAGAAATCATTTTGAATCTTTGGTTATTATAAACCCTAAGAAGCAGCTAAAATTATAATTTTTGCTAGGGGTCTAAGTTCAGTATAGGTTTCTTCAGCCCTACAGTCTTCGCTGAGGGCTCGACAACCGCCACCGCGGAGCCCGAAGCAGCCAGAGCTTCCCTAAACCCGAAACCCTAAACCCGAAACCCGAAACCCTAAACCCCCTAAACCCTAAACCCCCTAAGCCCTAAACCCTAAACCCTAAACCATAAAACTAGTTAAAGCTAGGCGACTGGCACCATGCCTGCTGGCCCCTCGGGCACCTCCCACGGTAGTGGTACACTTGAACACCCTGAGCCCCTAAACCCCTAAGGGTTTAGGGTTTAGGGTTTAGGGTTTAGGGTTTAGGGTCCTAAACCCTAAACCCTAAACCCCGAAACCCCAAACCCCTAAACCCCCAATCCTAGACCCCTATAAAGTCCTCTACCCCTAAACCCCTAAACCCTAAACCCCTAAACCCCGAAACCCCTGAAACCCCGAAACCCCTGAAACCCTGAAGCCCTATTTTTCCGAACCCAGGAGCTGAACCTAAAAGCTTCCAGAGCTCAGACCCTGAAGCCTAAAATCCGAAGCCCCAAACCTTAGAAGCCCAGACCAAACGCCCGAAACCTAGGGTTGCCGCTTAGGGTTTAGGGGTTTAGGGTGTTTAGGGTATTTAGGGTTTAGGGTATTTAGGGTATTTAGGGTATTTAGGGTATTTAGGGTATGTAGGGTATTTAGGGTATGTAGGGTATTTGGGTATTTAGGGTTTAGGTTTGGGGGTGTTAGGCGTTTTCGTGGCGTTTAGGCCGGTGTAGTCTTGACTCGCTCAGGCTTCAGGAACTGCGGTAGCTTCATGTCGGTGTCGGTGCCATGCAGCCATCCTTTTGGAAGTCTGTGGTGTCTCCACTGTTGTTGCTGCTAAAGGTTGTTCAGGGATGTTCGGGATGTCAACAGCGCTCACACAGCGTGGCAAGGGCTTTTCCAGGCCGCACGGGCTGTTCGCTCTTGTGGGTACCGCCGTGTCGGCGCTGATCGCATTGAAGATGCAGTGATGACCAAACCCAACATGCCCGTGAGCCAGAACTTGCGACACCTCCGAGGTGGTGGTGATCGATGCAGAACACCGGGGCGACATCTTCGACGACAAGTTCTTGTCCTTGGTTCGGGAGGCGCGGCTGCTTGACAATAGTTCAATAGCTGGCAAACAGAACGGTTGATTTTCAGCTAGAATGGTGGTGAAGGGAATGGACCAAACAGCTTAAACCGAGTTTGGAGTATAGAACATGGAACCAGGGGCCCTCTGCTATGAAGCAATGTTTGTAGTATTTCTTTTCAAGGTTTGAGGTTCACGGCACATCACAGCAGTGCGGCGTCAGACGTCCTTCCAAGTAAGCTGAACCTAAAGGCTCGGAGGCTTTTCTGACACATCCAAAGCTTCGACCACAACGGCCTAGGCTTTTTCTGGGCTCTTGTTAAGGGATCTAATGTAAGTTACCATAATAAGGAAACCATATTATTTTCTATAGATCCCTATTATGGTAACTTAAATTAAATCCCTTAACAAGAACCCAGTTTTGGATCCAAACATTGAAGCTTTTCTTCAGGTAACGCAACAGTCTTGACAATGTAGGGTACCCTAAATAAACCCCGGAAGCCTCAACCCTAAACCCAAAACCCTAAACCCTAATCCCTAAACCCTAAGGATGCTAGAATCGCAGGTAGCCCAAACATCTCCCAGTCTACGGCGTCCAACAGGTTGGCGTCTATTTCACCCGAATGCCGACCAGGTAATCTAGGAGCCTAAATAATTACCAATATTATCGTGAGGGTTCCTTATTTATGATCATAGTATATTGGGCCCCCAAACCCTATTCTTATTATTGAGGCCCCTACATTAAAAGAGTTTAGGGTTTATGGTTTAGGGAGTCCTGCCACACCCTAAACCCTAAACCC